TCTAATTATAGTCCATACCAGTGCTTTCAATTGGCAACTTTTTAGGACAGTGAGGCCGTGTTATGTAGAAGTTAAGATATTGGACTACAACTTGGGAACTCAGGGAAACCTTGTTGCATGTGTAGCTATGTCAGTGGGCAGACAGGTGGGAGTTGTTTTGTTTTGTTTTGTTTTGTTTTCCCCCTCTCAGAAAGTCATTTTGTCTCTTCTTGCTGTTAGGAAAAATGGACTCAGAGACCGTATATTTACTCTTACAAAGGTGGTGTGTTTTTTTTGTTTTTCTTTTTGTACCTGCTGCTGAGACTTGCTGTCCTGCTTCATATAGCTCCATATTATTTGTAAACTACCAGATTAGGCTTCTTTAAACCAGGTTTTGCAGCTGAAGTAGTAAAGCTTGTATTTCAGTCATTTGTAATATGTACCTAACTCTAAGGCTAGAATTACTCTCAAAGTTTTAGCAGAGGCAAAGGTGCTGATGTGGCTGGAGGGTTGCTTGCATTTTCCTGAGCTCCTGGCAGGTGGACATAAGTGATAAAGAAATTACTTGTCTAACATTGTGTACTGAAGGACTGTCACTTCAGAATAACTGATGAGTACAGAAACATGAACAAGCAGTGTGAGGCTTGCATTTATGCTTTCTGTTTTGAGGGATTTTACTTAAGGATTGAAACTCCCTTAAATCTTCTTAATGCTCAGAAGATGAAAGTATTTTTGTACTGTACAATATATTATGAAAGACTGAAATGCATTTTCCTTTCCCATTGTTCATTGAGGCTGCTGATAAGTGTTGTTTTTGGAGGGAAATGACCTTTGAAATCTGCGTAGAATATTTGTTTCTAGAAGTTAAAACAGCAAGGGAGTGGGTATCCTGTTACTTAATAAGATTTTCTTTTTTTGTGTAGACCTCAGTCTCAACAGGCAAGCTCGGCTGAGTGCAGTCTTTTTTTTTTTAAATACTGTACTTAAAAGAATGGAACGAAATTCTACAGTGCTGGGTAAAATAATTGAGGTGTCTTGCACTATTAAATCTGCTCTTAAGGGGCGAAACTTTGAAGTTACACTGAAACCATATCTAACTGTAGAAGAAAAAAGGCTTGCTGATGATGATCCATATGAATGTGTGGAGCAATGTTTTACTCTGTAAGTATCTAATGCTTGCTAATCCTGGATTATAATTTGTTAGCCAAGATTAAAAAACCCAATCAGTTCACGTAGCAGTCAGTTTCCGAATGGACACATCAAGAACTTGTGTGGTTTTTCCTATTTTTCTTTTCCCCCCTTACTGCTTTTCTCTTAGGAAAGCAAAGCTTGCTGTAAGCAGGTCTTCATGTCTTAGTTTCTCTGGTTTGTATCTTCCCTGTCAACATCTAAAAATGTTTTAATTTGAAATGTATGATAGAGTATTTTCTATAAGCAGTTAGAAGTACATTTCATCATTAAATGCTTTTTTCTTCTGTTTTCATATCTTAAATTCACCTTTAACCTTTTTTTCTGTGTGTATGTTACATTGGCAACTCATACGCATCCCGTGATTACTCTTCGCTTTTGTCATTCCTGACTTCTGGGAAATAGTCTTCAGCGTGTACTTGAATCTTGTGCTGTGTAACTTACTCCATTTTTACTACTTCATCCTCAAGTTCAAATTTCCCTATGTTCTACTTTCTCACTTGCAGGATTTGTTGACACATTCTTATTTTTTCATGTTAACTTTTTTGTTAATTTTTTATTAGATAAATGTACTCCCAGACTTGAATCTTAAGCAGTTGCTATAATGTCTTATTCATGAGACGCTTTTTGATTCTTTAGTGAGATACTAGTCTTTTTGAAAAGTAGTTGCTTTGTTGGTTGTGCCAAGGAACCGAAGCGTCCTCCTACCAATTATATACTGAGAACTCGATGATACACAATTTAGTAATATTATTGTGTGCTTTAACTTTGACTGATGTCTCTATCTCAATCTGTGCGTGATTGTCTCGAATAGCAGTAGGAAACTAGAAGTGGGAGCATATGACTGGAAGCAGCTTTCCAAATCAAGTCCAGTCTTCTGCTATGTCACTTTGATAACTGTATTGTATAGATTCTTTCACAAACTAAGCTTAAAAAGCAGGGCTTCAGACTTGAGCAGAAGGAATTAGAAGTCTCTGAAATCTCTACATCCAACTAGAGCAGAGTCTCAGGCAGGGTGCTTCAAGCTGATCTAAAAGAACTGAGACTTACTCAATAACCTATGAGAAATAGGTGGACAGAAAAGGTCAGCAAAATAAACTATGTCTGTGGCCAAGAATGATGGGAATAAAGAGAGCTGCCTTCCTAAAAAGTTTATTGGAAGCAGATCTACACAGAGACATTAAAAGGTAAAAAAAAAAAAAGGCAAATTATTTAAGGTATTTTAGGTACAACCCTAAACTAACAAGTACTTGATTCCCGGTATCAAAAATAAGGATGTAGAGCTGAGGGAAAAATATGGATTGGCTAAAAGGATATAGAGGTGAACACAAGCATGCTTGAAGTGAAATCAGAAAACTAGGGAGCTTAATGTAGAGGGGGGTGTGCCTTTATCCTAGGGAGTGGGGAGGAGGGCAGTAGGAAAAGGTCTGTGAAATCACAGCGTTAGTTATTTTTAACAGACCTCCTAACTCGGGGTGGTGTTACAAGAAGAATGTAGGCTGGATGTTACGAGAAGGTGGCCAACTATAGACATATTAAACTGACCTAAACAGTATGCAAAACTACAGAATGAAGTTGAATAGGAAGTATAATTTGGAGGACTGAAGGAAGCAACTGAATAAACGTAGCAATAGAAGACTGACCATATAGTTCTTTAAACACTTCCAGGAATAACTGAAAATGGTAAAAAACTCTGAGCGTGATGCAGACAAAATAAGGAGTTCCCAGTGATTTTTGGGAAATGGTGCTGAAGCAGGCAAGAAAATGGAATGCTTCCACTTTTTTTCTTTTAAAGATGGTACTTAACTATTAAGCTGTCAAATGAAGCCAGTATTTACAACAGGCCATCTCTATTAGGTTGTTCCAGTGTTTCACGAAACACTTGGTTTTGAAAAAGAAGTTAGGCTGTAATTGGAAGTTGTGTGTAGGTATCTGCATCCTGAATTTTGCACGTTTGTTCTTCTGACTTGCTAGGAAAAAGTTCTATTTGTTTTTTTTTTTTTCCCCATCTGGTTGTGGTTCTTAGTTTTGTGGATGATGCTGAAGTGTCTGGGCAACATGAATTTCTCATGGAGGGACACAGAATAGATGCAGTACTGGGTCTGAAAACAGGAAAATCTCTAATAGAGTGAGCATATCCCTTGCAAGTAGGAATAATGCTGTTTAAAGGTGTATGAAAGAAGGGATGACAGCATTTTGTCTCACTGTAACTAATTCTGGCTTTGGCTTAAACATCTTTTTCCTCCCCATCTGAAATTCTGAGGGCAGTGATAAATCAGAATATGTCTAGTTTTCGCATTCACTTTTGAAATCCTATCTGGACATATTTGGTCTAGCTGAGACTGAGTTAATTTTCACCATAGCAGCCCTCATCATGCTGTGCTTTGTAGTGGTAGCTAGAAAGGGGTTGGTAACACACCACTGTTTTGGCTACTGCTGAGCGGGGCTCACCCAGCATCAAGGCTTTCTCTCCAACATTTCCCCAGTAGGCTGGGAGTGGACAGAATCTTGGGAGGGGATATAGCCAGGACAGCTGACCCAAACTGACCAAAGGGATATACCATACCATATGATGTCTGCTTAGCAATAAAAGCTAAGAGAAAGCAGTGGGTGGGGTAGGGGAGAGCAGGGCGGGGCATTCATTTTTACAACCTTTGTCTTCTGGAGCCACCGCTATGTGTACTGAAGCCCTGCTTCCTGGGAAGTGGCTGGATGTTGCCTGCTATTGGGAAGTAGAGAATAAATCTTTTGTTTTTCTTTGCTTCTGCACATTGCCTTTGCTTTTGCCTTATTAAAGTGCTTTTATCTTGACCCATGATGTTTTCTTCATCTTATATTCTCTCTACCCTCTGCTGCTGAGGAGGTGAGTGATAGTGGCTTGGTGGACACCTAGCATCCAGCCAGGGTGAACCCACCACAGTGGATTTCTGTGTTGCCCTTCACTTTGTGAAAACTTGGAAAGTTTTCAGAGTTCTTTGGAATATTGCAGTTGTCCCTTCTCGAGCCATTGTTTGCTTCATATATTTTAGTACTTGAGCAACCTAGGCATTACAAAAGGATGTATTCTATTGGAAGAATCTCTACTGTAAACTTTCAGAGTCTACAAATGCAGTTAGACCATGATCTCTTTGTGTCTAAAAAGCCAAGCAGGGTGAGGTTGCTTATTAGTGGCAGCTAATGAGAAGCCGTATCTGTGAGGGGAACATCCTTATTGACTTAATGTTTTCATGTGAGAATCTTCTTTCAGCTGTAAAAACTGCTTGGATGATATATGTGTCTAATTGGGCTACCTATGTAGAATAGATGTACTAGATCTGAGACTTTTAATCCTGAGGGAGGAGGACAGCAATTTACAATCCAGAAAGGAAGATAAAAACGTAAGGTTCTATGCTTGATTCTCTTTGAAATTCAGACCATACTGAAGTCTGCTGTCGGGCTTTTTGGTGATTTACGTAAGCTGATACTATATTTTAAGGCAAATATGTCAACCTCAGGCTATTACATCTGGCCCTCACTGGGGGAAAAGGGAGGAGTGAATGAGTTTTTGATTCAAATTGAGCTCTTCTTTTGCCTCAAGACCTTCTAGCCAAGGTTCACTTTACAGTAGATTCAAGTTGCGTGGGCTTTCATTACTGTTGTAATCTGATAGATTCTTTTGCTAAACACTTCGTTATAGTAGGCCAGTATGTTAACAAATACAATTTGTAAGTGGGCAAGAAGGAGCAGTGCTTCACCTTAAATTGCTGAATTGATGCAAGAATATAAAAATGGTATTCTAGTTTTATTTTTTACTTTTTCTAATTGATGCTTTACTGTGTTTCTACCACAGAAATGAAGACCTAAAACAAATGTTGGAAAGCAGTAAAGATTCTGCGAAGCTGGATGCTATGAAAAGGATTGTTGGGGTATGTGATTTTTTAATTATTATTTTCATTTGCCGGGGTGTCTTTTTTATTACTATTTTTATTTCTTGGGTGTGTATACTGTTTTTGCTTTACAGATCTTGTACCAACTCAGCATCTGAATCTTTAGATGGTGTTTAAAAGCTACTGTGAAGTCTTTAATTTTGAATTTTGTGTAGAAATGGCTATATAAAAATATATGCAGTCATATACTTTTAAAATACTTATGCAACAGTGCCAATATGCCTGTAAATATTTTTCAGTAGGGAGGCGAGATCTTAAATAGGAAATGGCTCCTTCAGAGAAACTTCAATTGCTGTCTTAATTTAGCAGACAGGAAACCCCAGAAATTTTCAAGAGTAAAATGACAAATTCCATTTACTATTTTTACTTTTTTGGATTATAGAAGGGTTTTTTTTAATTCAAGAGTTGCCTATATATCTGACTAAGCATTTCGGGTGAACAGTATACCGGTAGAGGTGATTCAATAATGTTTAATACCATTTTGTGTTTAAACCTTATAAACTAAACATCATGAAGTTTATAAAGTTCCTTTATTTCTTCTTAAAAGTAGCAGAAGGCTGTGCTATGGAAAGCTGTTCAGTGTCCACTTGACTTTTTTTTGCGGGGGGGACACAACTTCTGCCTTTTCTTTCTCTCATTGTTCCTCCAGTCCCCTCTGGATGTACTTCTTTGTTTTGCTCGGGTTTTTTTTTTTATGTGGGTTAGTCCTACTCAAGCATGTACTGAAGCGAGAAGATACAGATTATGTCATGCGATTGTGTTCTTTCCTCTGACTCGAGCTGGTGATTTCTCCCTTCGTTATCCTCTAGTGATGAACATTTTACTCAAGCTGGTTGTCTTCTGCTTTTGCCTTTGATCCTAGTCCTTCCAGAGACATCAGTTGGCTATTAACCGATCAACTACCATTTCATAACATACTGGGTTTAGTTTTTTGGTGAAAGGTTTCTTGGTTTATCTTCTCCAGCATGATGTGGGATTCCTCAGGGTTTGGCCAGTGGGAGTCTGGCATGCAGAGGTGTGGTTGCAAAACATCATGGCCTTTAGGAGTGCCATGGTTTCAACCTACGGTAACTTACATTCTTCTGCTTCCCTCAGAAAAGGTCTGTCTTCTGGCTGTTACTATGGGCGGGAGGGCTGGGGAGAATTGCCTGTTGCTCCCTTGGTTTTCTTTTTCAAAAAGGTGGCCAGATATTTATATGTACTGGAAACTGTTGGAACTGAGTGTGTATGTGGGAATTAGAAACTGTTAAATCAGGTCAGCTTTAAATTTTAAACCGAGGCTTCATTAGATTGATTTTTTTTTTTTTTTTCCTCCCTACAAACAATGCTGTCTTTATCATTGAGTGTGCGATGAGCAAATGTGCTCATAAATACCTGGTGCTGCTACATATTCAAAGCAGTTCTTAAGAACTATTTCTTTGATTTTCTAGAAGTATATGAGACCATGAAGCTCGAGATGTGTAGTTAGCACTGATAGCTGTGTTCCTTGATGGTCTTAAGCGCTCAGGCTCAAGAGCTCTTCAGCAAGGGAAGGCAGAACTGAATTGAGCACATTCTTTCTTTTGCTTCCCCAATTACAGATTTTTGTCCTCTTATAAGTTCCCAGTCATTGGTTTCTCTTAAGTACTGCACAATGCTGGAAGAGTATTACTTTCCCAGATGGCAGCAGGCACCTTCTGTTTCTTGCATATTTTTTCCTTGCTCAGCTGCTGCCGCTTTTCTGAAAGCAGAAACAGCCTTCTAGCTCATAAGGTTGACCATTACTTGACCACAGGCCAATTCTTTGATTTAGTGGATTTTCTGTTTTCAGTCTCTTCCATATTTTCAAGGTATTTGCTGTTATCCTGTGTTTAAACTGTGTTTCATAACAGACTCCTGGTACGAGCCTCTGATTCACGTAACAAACTGAGACTACAAGCTTTGCAGGCCAGGACTGGGACCTTGCACAATTAATGTAAGGACTTGTAGCAGTGGTGATAATGTTCTTGCTGGGCACAAAGATGCTTGTGTGTTACCAGTTGTGTGCTTACATTTAGAGAGTTCTCAGGGATGAAATGTGTTTACCAGAGATGAAAGGCTTCCTCTAGCCTTATTAGTGGAAAAAGGAACTCCACTGTTAGAGCATTGTTTAACATGTCTTGCTGGAATGCTTATTTTCACTAACTTTAGGTAGGAGAAAAAGCTGTGCATACCAATGGTTTTCTTACTCTTTTAGAAGACTTCAAGAGGCTGAACCATATGGGTGTGATGGAAGAAGTACCAGGAGAACACTGCTTATGGCTCCTTTTGCTGGTGCTTCCTCCTTTAAGGGAGTTTGCAAACTCTCTCCTGGGGAGAAGGAGATTAATTACAAATAAAAGCAAATCAGTCTTGCAGAGAGTGACTTTTAACAATCTAATTTCAAGCACAGGAGTAGTCCGGTTTTGATCTTTCCACTCCCTTTCTTACATGAAGGTGTCTAAGCCCACCTCTAGCTGAAATATGTGTGTGTGGCTTGAATGATCAATGACCTTTTTTTTTTTTTTTTTTTTCCCCCCCAGTCAGTATGTTATTTTTTGTGTTTCTTCCTTACAAGCATGCCGTAAAATAATTACAGTCTTTGGAAGGTCATGAGAAACACTGCTGGTTTAGAAATAAATTTAAAGAGTATACAGAACCAAGTTTATTTTACTATACGCATGAAAACACAATAGCTGATATTTCTTCTAAAACATACACTGATATTACAATAATGGAGATGTTCTTGTTACCAGATCTTGAAGCCTGTCTGAACTTTTCATCTGGAAAAAAATCTCAGTGGAATTTTGCTTTTGGAGATTTCAGAGCATAAGTTCAGGAAACAAATTCACACGTCTGATTTCCCACAAAGAATTTCATCCATGTCTGTGTGTCTTTTGCATGGGGGAAAAAAAGGCTGGAGTACAGCCTGACATTACATAGTGCTTATTCTAGAATGAAAATTGCTGTGCAGGAAATCCAGGTATATAAGAAAGACAACACAATTGGAGAATGTCTGGGCACAGCAATGAAATGACATGATAGACTTTAGTCTTGGAAAGAACCATTATGTTCTTTCAGGTTAATGATCCATGGGCTAAGGAGGATTTACGCTAATAGTTATGACTTAATGAGTCAAAATACACTCTTTTAAAAGACCCTAAATACATATTTACATGGTACACTGGACTTATTATGGTTGATCGGTTAAATAATGCTAGTAATGCATAGTCATACCGTTATAGCCTATCAGGGAAGTCAAAAGATCATCCCTGTTTTTGAATAACATAACTTCCGTGGCATCAAGGTGGGTGGTTGATAATATTTTAGTCTATGATACTTCTCTGCAATGCATCTTGGCACTAAGTTCTTCGTGACTCTGGTCGTTCTCAATCTGGCATTTATTACAAAGCCCCCCTCCCTAGTCCCAACAGCAGTGGTTTAATTTAGATTCTTAGTTAAAACCCCTTGAAACCTATACAATGTGCTTGCTGCTTAGTTTGTCACTTCCTGTGCTTTAATACAGCTGCAAGAAATAGCTTAAGATGTTAAGTTCGTTAAATTGAAGTGTCATGCTGGACAGCTAGCTGCTCTTGAACCCTTTTGGAAGGCTCACTCAGTTACAGCTTGGACTACAACTACTCTTTTGTCTTCAGATGTCTTTCTTCTAACCTCTGAATACAGTTTATCAAGGTATCACCTGTTTTATGTTTTCCTGCTTTTGTCAAGCAAGAGATCCTAGTTCTTTATGCCCCTAATGAAATACACAAAAGGACCTGTGAGTTAGGAATATGAAGTTTAATCAGCTGTATAATGTTGAGTAATGGTGAGAATGCGAGACAGTTACTGCAAAATTCATGTTTATGTGTTGGATCCCTGCATATTTGCTTGTTTTGGTGAGTTCTTGTTCTTTGTGAGTAGCTTGACGTTTGGCTGAATGGATCCTGCCCTTGACCGTAGCTGGGGGGTGCTCTGAGTCTGTATTCAGCAGTGCTGTAACTTGATACAACACATCAATGGAATTCTAGGGTTTGCAGCTCGGATATGAAGTACTGGCACACATTCTGCTGGAATTACGTCTAAGAAATAAGAGAGTTGTACAGCTGTTGTGTATATTGAAGTATTTTATTCTTTCTAATTTGCTTGATTTCTTATAAATAACTTCTTCCTTAAGCTGTTCATACAAGGGCTGAAGCTAAACTGGGGTTTTGTTATTTTTGGTCTTTGACGCCATTTTGTTGTTTACTACGTACCCTAGTTTCAGATTTCTCTTAAGTTTATGAAAAGTTCCTTTTTTTAAAAAAAAAAAAATAACAGTGGGTTGACTGAGCTTACTTTTACCTTTTTTTTTGATCTGTATAAACACTTTAAGGCCTATTATGTTTAACTTGCTATGGAGAACAACCTTGCTTTATTTCTAACGTGTGAAGTCTATTTTTTTTTTTCCTTGATTCTGTTACACACCAAGGTTGTTCCAGGGAAAGGGAACAGGACTTAAAATTGTTTAGCTTCTGATGGTTTTTTGGGTGTTTGTTTTTTTTTTTTTTGGCTAGCAGCTCCCAAAAAGTAATTCCCTGAAGCTTTTCGTATTAGCAAGATCTCTGTTTTAAGTAAGTTTTAAAGAATTAAAAATGATTTGCATCCAATATGGTAAAGTCTAGTTCATTGATTCTACACCCAAAACTTGTAACCAGCCAGTACTCAGGGGTTTTGGTGTATGGATAGTATCCTGTAAATAGTAACAAAAAATCATACTTCATTCTCAACTTCATAGAAATCAGATTTGAAATACAGATCTGGAATAAATGCCTATGTCTTTCTTAAAAAACAAACAAACAAAACAACAAAACCCGAACAAACCAAAAGCCAAAACAACAACAAACTACTCAAATCTTTGTAATTTAATAATATAACTTGTATCTTTTTTTTGTTTTCAGATGATTGCAAAAGGAAAAAATGCTTCTGAGCTGTTTCCAGCTGTTGTGAAGAATGTTGCCAGTAAAAATATTGAGGTATTCCTATAGCTCATTAAGCATACTGTTATGGAAGATTTGTTCATGAAATTTTTTTAACTAATTGTCTCTGACTTCAACATAAACCATAAAATCTCTAATATTTTTTAAATAGAATTTCTCAGGATTTAATTTCAATGACAGCATTATGTAATAGTTTAATGTGTAAATACGGGAAAACTACTGTGTGATTTGAATTGAGGAATATTAACTACTTACATTTTAAAAACTGATTGATTAGAGAAAGTTTGTGGAAGCGTGTGGTGGTAGTTCTGAAAAAAGGTACTATAGGTTACGTCCCAGGTTAGAGATATTACTAGGGAACTTTCTGGTTTGGTACGGCCATCAGACTACTACCCACTGTTGATTATCCAGGTTGGTAGTGATGAGGTTACAGAAGGAAGTCCGAAAGCAATTAAAAAGGACTTCAAGGCACTGGGGAGATCACTTGATGGCTCAGGAGCGCAGGTAGTGTTCTCCTCAGTCCCTCCAGTGGCAGGGAAGAATTCTGAAAGAAGGAGGAAAACTCAACTGATTAATATGTAGCTTAGGGTCTGGTGCCACTGGCAGAATTTTGGATTTTTTGATCATGAGGAGCTTTACACTACACAGGGTCTGCTGGCAACAGATGGAGTTCATCTGTCTCAAAGGGGAAAAAGGATCCTTGCATATGAACTGGCCGGACTGATTGAAAGGGCTTTGAACTAGATTGGAAGGGGGAAGGGGATAAAACCACACTTGATAGTGTTGAGCCTAAGGGTGGCAGGCCACTGTTGGGAGAGAAATCATTAGCGTGGCTCAAGTGCACCTACACTAATGAACGCAGCGTGGGCAACAAACAGGAGGAGCTGGAAGCCATTGTGCAGCACGACAGCTATGACATAGTTGCCATCACAGGAACATGGTGGGATGACTCCCATGACTGATATGCTGCAATGGATGGCTATAAGCTCTTCAGAATGAACAGGGAAGGTACAAAAGGCGGTAGGGTGGCTGTCTATGTTAGGGAGTGTTTTGACCGCATAGAACTCAACAACTGTGATGGAGTGGTTGAATGTTCATGGGTAAGGATGAGGAGGAAGGTTAGTGAGGCAGACATCCTCTTGGGAGTCTGTTATAGACCACCCAACCAGGACGAAGAGGCTGATGAAGTGTTCTACAAACAGCTGGCAGAAGACTCAATCACCAGCTCTTGTTCTTGTGGGGGACTTCAACTTGCCAGATATCTGCTGGAAATACAACACAGCAGAGAAAAAGCAACCTGGGAGGTTCCTGGAGTGTGTGGAGAATGACTTCCTGACATAGCTGGTGACTGAGCCTGCCAGGGGAGATGCCTTGCTGGACCTCCTGTTTACTAACAGGGAGGGACTGGTGGATGATGTGGTGGTCAGAGGCTGTCTTGGGCTTAGTGACCATGGATAGAGTTTTCAATTTTTGGCAAAGTAAGGAGGAGGGTCAGCAAAACCACTACCATGGACTTCCGAAGGGCAGACTTTGACCTGTTTAGGACACTGGTTAAGAAAGTCCCTTGGGAGTCAGTCCTAAAGGGCAAAGTGGTCCAGGAAGGCTGGACATTTTTCAAGAAGTAAGTCTGAAAAGCACAAGAGCAGGCTGTCCCCATGTTCCAGAAGACAAACTGGCAGGGGAAATGACTGGCCTGACTGAATAGGAAGCTTTTGCTGGGACTTAGCAGAAAGAGAAGAGTCTACCACCTTTGGAAGAAGGGGCAGGCTACTCAAGAAGAGTACAGGGATTTAGTTGGGTCATGTAGAATTAACATTAGGAAGGCAAAAGCCCAGTTAGAACTCAGTCTGGCCACTGTTGCAAGAGGTAGTAAGAAGTGTTTTTACAAGTACATTAACAATAAAAAAAAGAGCCAGGAAGAATCTCCATCCTTTACTGAATGTGAGGGGGAACATTGTCACTGAGGATGAGGAAAAGGCTGAGGTACTTAATGCCTTCTTTGCCTCAGTCATTAATAGTTGGACTAGTTACCCTCAAGGTAATCAGCCCCCTGAGCTGGAGGACAGGGATGGAGACCAGTAGGATTCCCTCATAATCCAGGAAGTATTAGTTAATGATCTGCTATGCCAATTGGACACATAGAAGTCTATGGGGCTGGATGAAATCCAGAGGAAAAGGCTGAGGTACTTAATGCCTTCTTTGCCTCAGTCATTAATAGTTGGACTAGTTACCCTCAAGGTAATCAGCCCCCTGAGCTGGAGGACAGGGATGGAGACCAGTAGGATTCCCTCATAATCCAGGAAGTATTAGTTAATGATCTGCTATGCCAATTGGACACATAGAAGTCTATGGGGCTGGATGAAATCCAGCTGAGAGTGCTGAGGGAGCTGGTGGAAGAACTTGCCAAGCCACTCTCCATCATTTATCAGCAGTCCTGGTTAATGGGAGAGGTCCCGGAAGACTGGAGGCTTGCCAATGTGATGCCCATCTACAAGAAGCGCTGGAAAGAGGATCCGTGGAACTACAGGCCTGTCAGAGGATCCGGGGAACTACAGGCCTGTCAGCCTGACCTTGGTACTGGGCAAGATTATGGAGCTGTTCGTCTTGGGTGTGCTCACATGGCAAGTGCAGGACAACCAGGGAATTGGGCCCAGCCAGCGTGGGTTCATGAAGAGTGGGTCCTGTTTGACCAGCCTGATCTCCTTTATGATCAGGTGACCTGCCTAATGGATGAAGGAAAAGCTGTGGATGTTGTCTGTCTGGACTTCAGTAAGGCATTTGACACAGTCCCCCATAGCACCGTATTGGATAAGCTGGTGGCTCATGGCCTAGGTAGGTGTACTTTTTGCTGGGTTAGAAACTGGCTGGATGGCCAAGACCAGAGATTTGTGGTAAATGAAGTTAAATCCAGTTGGCGACTGGTCACGGGCGGTGTTCCCCGGGGCTCAGTATTTGGGCTGGTCTTATTTAATATCTTTATCAACGAACTGGATGAGGGGATCAAGTGCTCCCTCAGTAAGTTTGCAGATGATGCTATATTGGGTGGGAGTGTTGATCTGCTCAAAGGTAGGAAGGCTCTGCAGAGGGACCTGGACAGGCTGGATCGATGGGCTGAGGCCAGTTGTGTGAGGTTTAACAAGGCCAAGTGCCAGGTCCTGCACTTGGGTCACAACAACCCCATTTTTTTTGGGGAGGAGTGGCTGGAAAGCTGCCCGGCAGAAAAGGACCTGGGGGTGCTGGTCGACAGCCGGCTGAACATGAGCAAGCAGTGTGCCCAGGTGGCCAAGAAGGCCAATGGCATCCTGGCCTGTATCAGCAATAGTGTGGCCAGCAGGAGCAGGGAGGTGATCGTGGTCCTGTACTTGGCACTGGTGAGACCGCATCTTGAGTAGGGCACCTCGAATACTGTGTGCGGTTTTGGGCCCCTCACTACAAGAAGGACATTGAGGTGCTGGAGCGTATCCAGAGAAGGGCAACAAAACTGGTGAGGGGTCTGGAGAACAGGTATTATTAGGAGCGGCTGAGGGAACTGGGGCTGTTTATCTTGGAGAAGAGGAGGCTGAGGGGAGACCTTATTGCTCTCTACAACTACCTGAAAGGAGGTTGTAGTGAGGTGGGGGTTGGTCTCTTCTCCCAAGTAACTAGTGATAAGACAAGTTGCGCCAGGGGAGGTTTAGATTGGGTAATAGGAAAAATTTCTTTATTGAAAGAGTGGTTAAACATTGGATCAGGCTGCCCAGGGAAGTGGTGTTGTCTGTCTGGAGGTGTTCAAAAGATGTATGGATGTGGTGCTTAGGGACATGGTTTAGTGCTGGGCTTGGTAATGTTAAGTCAGTGGTTGGACTTTATGATCTTAGTGGTTTTTTCCAACCAAAATGATTCTATGATTTGAGGTGTGGTGATGCTTGCAAAGTTTGAGGAGGGATTGTGCTACATTGTATTTGAAAATATCTATTGCAGATCAAGGCTGAGAGGTAAGGGTTGGGTAAAAAAAGTTTTCACTGTTCTAACCATGAAGTGTGTTTATAAAAGGAGTGTCTCAGCATTAGGATTTCAGGGTGAGATCACTTTAATTCAGTTAAACAAGTCTTTGTAGAATTTGTGGTTAGAAAAAATGTGATGTTACTAATGAAGTGTGTTTAAAATAATTTGTGTTTCACAATACTTAAATGTTGATTCTTTTGATAATTTAGTTTAGGGAATTTGTTTAATGTTTTGTTAATGTGAATGCCTGTAATTCCAGAAGATTACAGAAAAGTAGACTTCAAATCTCAAGAGCCTTTTGGAGAGGTGTGACTATTTGGAAGGCAGGGAGGGATAGGTCCCATCTTGAGCAGAGAAGAAATTTTTGCTAACATGCAGTGTAATCTCAGATCTTTGGGTTACTTTTATGTTTTGCCAAACATGGAGACTGTAAAGCCAAGTCATAAACACATCTTGGGAATATGTCCTTACTCATTTATTTTGTATGCAAAATTATGAAAGGAGTATATGAAGGGGCAGATAAGAACAAATTATACTTCCTCTAAAAGCAGCTGATGAAGAACCTGAGTGAGAATGATCTGCAGTAGGAGTTAATTTCTTGAGACAAGTTGCTTGACTCAGTTTATTGCACTAAATTGTGTGACTTTTAAGACATGTTTAATAATTTTTTTCAGCGTTTTGTAGATGAAAACATTAGCGGAAATATAATTTTTTCTTTCAGGCTGTTTACCATCCATTTTATTTTAGCAGCATGTGTGTCTTTTCTTGCCCCAATATCAGGTGTTAGACACACAAAGTATCTTGCTCCTGTATCTTTTTGTTGTCGTTGTTCTTCTCACAAGAAAGTGATAAAAAGTCACTTGGACTAGTGAAAATTCAAATTCCCAGGAAATTAAAAAGTGGAGATTGTATTCAACTATGATGTATTTAAATTCACAGGCTTACTATGTGGCTTTGAGTACACACACACACAAGAAATACATATGTACCAAGGCAGCTGACCAGATTGACACAGGGTGCTCACATAAGCACAAACAACACCAGCAGCTTGGCAGTTAAAGATGAAGGTCTGCCAGTGGGAATGTATGTATACATATGCATCCAGTACTCAGACATGATCTGCCCAGTGGCTGGCCCCTGGATCCCAGTTGCTCCTGTTGCTGGTACTGGACATATGAAGCCCTGAGGCTTCAGCCCTGTTTCAGTTGCTGGTACAAACTGCTGTACAGGTATGAACACACGTAAAACAGGACTACCCTGGTCCCCCAGTAGCTACCCCATCATGGTCCTGCTCTTAGACACACAGGTGTGCACACACAACTGGATGTGGCCAGAGCCCACCTGGTCCTGTAGTAGCCGACCCCCTGTGGTTATGCCCTTAGAGAGATGCACACAAACACATGGTTCCTGCCCCTAGAGACATCACGGACCATCTGATACCTCTGTCAGCTGGATGGAACTTCCCTTGTCCATGCCATAGCCAACTCCTCCTGTGGTCTTGCCGTTAGATGCCTACAGCCTTATCTACCTCCTTCCCAGGCCACTTTTCCTACTCTGCAGCTAGTGCGGCTTGATCCACTGATACACCTGCACCCATTGCAGTCACTAGCACCATGGACATAGAGGCTTGCGCTTGGTTTCACAGTCTCCTCCGTTGCTTGCACCTATGCTCATGGGCCCTCTGGCCTGTGGTCCTAGCACAGGTGCTGGCAGCCAGACCTTCACGTGTTCTAGGTGCTGGCCACCATGAATGCAGGGGCTTCTGTGACTTCAGGTTCCATTCCAGTTGCTGGAGGTACACTTAAGTCCCCTCGCTTTGGTGTCTAGTTGCTGGTGCCCATGGACAGATGGGCCCTCCAGCCTGTGGCCTGACTGATTGCTGGCACATACATGCACTTTCACAGTGAAGAGAGAGTACCTCTTTTTTAAGAGTTAAAAATGGAATTTAATGAGAAAACACAGCAGACTGTGCTGATCAGCTGGAGGGTACAGAAAGGTAGATGTACCAACCAGCAAACTGTTTAGATGTGTCCAGCCATTTCTATCTACTTATCACTCGATTTTCCCCAATTCTTCCCCAGATCACATAGGTTCCCCGTGCTTCTCCTTCACTTTGGTTCCTCCCCAAAATGTCCTATGATAAGTGTTGTGCAATCCTAAAATACTCATCTGCATTCCATACCTGTATGCAGAAAAGCCCCTCAGTCTGAAAGGTGCTCTGATGTTGACTCTTGATGGGTTTAACACTGGGACATGGGAGCTTAGGCTCTCCTGAAGGAGTCCTGGGAGGGGCCTGATAAGGTGTCCTTTCCTCTGCGTTTTAATTTGGCTTCCCTCTTACTACTGTGTCTCTCTGCACCTGTGGGCTGGTGGTTTCTGTCATGGGCTTGGGGGAAGCTAGGGCAGGGTATTACTTGCAAACACCTCTCCACTTGCCTTGTCTCTTTGTGCTTCTTTGTGGCTGTGCAGACAAGGTTTTATTGCATAATCTAACATTAATTAGCAGAAGCCTTTTATGGTTTGTATTTTATGGGCCTTAAATTTTGAAACAAATAGGCAGTTATGTGAATTCACATGTCTTCCTCTATGCTGTAGTTCCCTAATTTTTCCACCATTTAGCACTAACATATTTGTGCGGGAAGAGACTGTTTAACTGAAAAGATATCAGGGCATTCAGTAAAGCCAGCTGACTAATTTCTTTATCAAGGTTAGTTAGATGACAAGTTTAGGTCATAATGTAGCTATACTTACAGCTGTATAGTTAGCACTTCTGGATCTCAGAAACCTTTATTGTGATCACAGAACCACACAGAATCACAGAATGTTAGGAGTTGGAAGGGACCTTGAAAGATCTAGTCCAGCCGCCCTGCCAGAGCAGGACCACCTAGAGTAGGTCACACAGGAACACGCCCAGATGGGTTTTGAATGTCTCCAGAGAAGGAGACTCCATAACCTCTCTGGGCAGCCTGTTCTGTCCAATTTTTAGGATGCTTTTGAAATTATGAGAAATTACTGGATTACATCAGATTCTTAGTACATTGATCCTGATGCTGTTTTCTGATAATATTTTGCCAAATTTTTCCCTATCCTTAGTATTTCTTACACAAGTCTGCCTGTACAACTTGCGACAGTACCATAGCATAAAATACATCAGTTCATCTGAGTGACTTTGTAGCCGAGTGACTTTCCTGCCCAGAAATGGCTGCTGTTTTGGTTTTTTGTTTGTTTTTTTTTTTTTTTTTAAAAAGGGCTGAGTGCTCTGATACTGGTAAATGGAGGTGAAGTAGTAGAACATGTTCATTTGTTTTAAAAGAAGCAAAGGGCATCTTACTGTTTACAGAAGTGCCTTGTGATTTTTGTTTTTATAAGTACACACTGACCTCAACTTATGTGCATCTTTGTCATGGATGGTAAGGATACAAAAAGTGACCTAATAAACAAATGGTGGTATAGAACAAAAATAAGTCTTAGTCAATAACTCATGGAGTTTGATGTGCTAGTATTGATAAACTAATTAAACAAATCTGCCTGTGTTCTTCGAGCCTAATGTGCCCCTGTTATGATTAGTTTTATAGAAAGGAACATTTTAACATTGAATGAAGGTAAATGGTGAAAGAATAGTGTAGTCACGAAGCTCTGAGTGCTTCCATTTCTAGTCACAGAGTGGTTTCAAGGAAAGGAGGCTTTCTTTGCACACCTGCAGTCATTCAGTGCATAGGCCTCTTGTGGTCAATGTTGATTGCTGCTTGTCTATAGCTGAACAACAAATAATTTAGTATGGTGTAACCTTCTGTGATTTAATATTATGCTTTTTGCAGGAATTGGCACAAAGTTACATCTTTGGATAGTGACAGTAATTATAGCACAGCTGTAGTTGAGGGTCTTTCAGAATTTTCCATTATAAACCCCAATAGTCAGTTTACAACTCAAATGTAAAAACTGTTTTCAGTGCTTCCTGGGCATACAGTGGCCATGAGGGGGTAAAGTGAGATAAATTGAATACCCTCCTCCCACAAAATCATACTGAGGTTTTCTTAATCTTTGAACATTGCATCCTTTGTAGTATGCTTATATTGGCTACATCTTTTGAATGCTTATAGTCAGGCAAAGGTGGATTTAATATCCTTTGCTTTTGTCCAAGACATAGTCAGAATTGCTCTTTTAATCAGATTTAAATAGTGTAAATTACCACACTTCAGCTGAAAGTTATATTCTCTTTCAAATATGTTAAAGTAATTGATTTTGAGTTTCAGGGTACAGTAAAATGGGCTTGTTGAAACCCTTTGCTGTTGCAGTTTAACCTGTTTTCCATGAGAAAAAAAAACCCATGAGGAGTGCTCAGGTGGTCAGTTGCCACATGTCAGCTTCTTAGATTATTCAAATCTTTATTTACTAGTTGATAACATAAAGCAGTACTTTGTGTTATTAGCCTTCACCTGACTGTATCATTAATTAGGTAATATTGTGATACCCGAGGGAGTTTTTATTAAAGGTATGCAGTAAATTATAGGACATTTGAAAAGCATGTGAGTAATCCAGTGATATATTAACTCTTCCTTCACGGAAGAAATGTTGATGAAAATGTGCAATCTATGACTTAGTTTCGTGGAATTCTAAAACTTTCTGATAATGTTCATTGTATTTTTCTTTTCAGATAAAAAAGCTTGTCTATGTTTATCTGATGCGTTACGCAGAGGAGCAGCAAGATCTAGCATTATTGTCCATCAGTACTTTCCAGCGTGCTTTAAAAGTGAGTGACTACTAAACAACAATTCATAGAGAATTCTGAGTTATCACAAAAATAGAAAAATCTGTGTAAGTGTAGTCTGGTAAACTAAAGCATGTAAATATCTGCATCTGATAAAGTAGTTTAAAGTTATGTCATTGACAGTTTTTTGTGCTACCTCAAACTTTGTCAAGCAACTAAGCCTGCCTGAAGTAAAATTACTTTGCTAAAGAAAAGTGGCAGATTGGTGCTTTCAAATTTGTATGTGCAACTTTTGATTTCTGGATGCCTTTTCTCTTTCCAAGGTAGCTTATGTAGAAAGAAGACCCTGAACTATCAAGTGTTCCTTTTCATTGGTGTAAAAGATCTTATGTAGAACAGAGAATTGGAACCTAAACTAAACCTAAACTAAACCTAAACTAAAATATTCCGTGTGTTGCACATGCTTCTTTTTTATTAAAAGCACTGAAGAGTTCATTTCAAATTTGGATCACAATGGGGAATGGAATTAGAGAACAAAGATTAGGATTGCCTTTGAAGTGTGACTGTGGAGAAAAGAAAGACTTATTAAGTCTCTGTCCTTAGATTTGGCCAGTTTTTATAATAAGAGAAGGTTAGGTTTTTCTTTTTTCTTTTACCCTTCTTGTAAGGCTGCTCTAGGTTTATAATTAACTTCTGCCATGTCGCTGACCCAGACCTTGCATCTTGTTGGAAAATGTTGCAATTGGAGCAGCAGGCATGCAACTGTAGGAGCATCTCACAACTGACTAGAGCTTTCTGCCCCTTTCCTTCCAGCTTTTGTCTCAATGACATGTGTACTACCTTTAAGATCTGTGATTGCCATGAAAAGCTAAAATTCAAAAGCCTTTGTATCCTATGTTTTTAATGAGATGTCTGTACAGTGAACACTTCTTGTGGCATAACTTTTTAAAAAACTGTCAATAGTGGTAGCTGAATGAGAGGATGGCTCAAATGTTGTGACTTTGCATAACTCAAAAAGAAGTGGTAGTGTGGCAAAGAGGTAGACTCCAAGCTAGCTGAGATTTTCAGCAACTAACGAAATTACTAAGCCTGCTATGGAAGATACACAAATGTAATTAATTCTCTGTTCATTTTTTGTGATGTTTTGTTTCTGGTTTTGTAATAAAGATTATAATTTGGCTTTGTGTGGAGATGTTATTCTTCCTCTTTAGAAAGAACTTTTAGGGTATTTTAAAATTGTGTGATTGGAGGTGAGCTTTGCAAACTCTGATAAGAACAGATTATTTTTCCAAAACCTGTTAGATTAAGTGTTTTCACCATCCAGATACTTACTACTCAGAAGCTGCTAAGATGCAGGAATTTTGAGAGCTTGAATGAACTAATCATTAAGTAATACCAGTCTGAAAATCCATGTTGCCGACTCTCAGTCCTTGGGAGAAATGTTCTTTGGGAAATGCCCTTCTGGCAGACAGTACGCTGGATTAATGCTGCTGCAATTTCATTTTGCTAGCTTTTAGAAGATTTACTACTTGATTAAGCAACATTTTTTCCCATGTGTCCCAAGACCATGATTAATGGACAAAGTTTACGTAACGGTTCCTCCAAATACTGATGTCTTGTGCTATTGTTGGATCTCCAAGCTAACCCTAGGATTATAAAAGGGGAGCAAGTATTGAGATGAAAGAAGGGAGGGTAAGAAATAGAAGGTCTCAAAACATTTAGCTTAATATTTTGACACGTTCTTAAGAAAATTCATTTTATTACTGGCTTCAGTTTATATCTTTGCAGTAAAGCATAAAATGGATAAGCTGTCAAGAACTTGAGTGGGAGTGTCACAACTGAGAACCACATTTTCATTTGACAGTTCTTAATATCTAAGTAATGAAACTGAACTAGGTGTGTTTTTTGGAATATCTGAATTCCACTTTGGCAGAAAATGTTTCAGGTCATTAAATAAAACATTAGTCTTTTTTATCCATCATTCCCATATTTTGCTTGGGAAAGTGAATTATGTTAATGTTTTCCTTTGCCAGATTTCCAGATTTTCATGTTTCAATGTTTTCCTTGTTTTTCAAGGTCAGGTTGGATGGAGCTTTGAGCAACGTGGTCTGGTGGAAGGTGCCCCTGCCCATGACAGGCAGGTTGGAACTAGGTGATCTTCAAGGTCCTTCCAACCCAAACCATTCTATGGTTCTATGATTCTTACTTTCTTTTACTTTTTTAGGTTGTTGAAAGTTTCTTGTGTGAAGTTTCGCACATTTTCTTAATAGCATGGCCTTAACTTGCAAGCCTGACTGATAGTCAGATTTTGATGTTTTAATGTGCGGTCACTAATTAGTGTAAAAACTGCAGAGTATTTAACAATGTGTTTCTGCACTGTTTTATTTCTCCCCTTCTCTCTCATTCTTTAGGATCCTAATCAGTTAATCCGTGCAAGTGCTTTAAGAGTTTTATCAAGTATCCGTGTCCCAATTATTGTTCCTATTATGATGCTTGCTATTAAGGAAGCCTCTTCTGATTTGTCGCCTTATGTGAGGAAGAACGCAGCCCATGCAATCCAAAAACTGTACAGGTAAGTGATTCTGACAAATACTGAAAATCAATTTTAAGATAGCTGTGGGCTGTGTTTATTAAGACTACTGAGGGGGTTGGTGTGTCTCAGATTATACTTTAAGAAACTTTAAGAAAGTGTGTGTGGGCATTCCATCACTCAACTGTTTTGGTTGGAATTCAGGCAAGTCTGTTGCTTGCTGGAGTAACAGGATAACTGTGAAGAGAATAAAAAAGAAACTGATAGACCATCTTTTGTCTTTATATATCAGTTACTGTCATCTGTGTAGCAACTATTTTGATGGGTAGTATGAGGATCAACGATTCTTGTGTTTAGTGCCTGTATCCTTCATCCTGAAGGTGTTTGCTGCAGCTTGCAGTACAGGTGACAAATGAATACTAACTCATAGAAATTTTATCTATGCAAATCCAAATCTTCCTCTTCCCTTTTCAGAAATTCTTGTTGTGGAAAAGTTTTAACGAAGAGGTGGGTACTGGTTTACACAGGTGGAGGCAACAGAACATTTACCTTTTCAAAACAAAGACAGACTGAGGCTGCTGCAGTTCCACGCCCCCTCAGACCAACCAGTAGTGAGACTGAGCATGGGCACATAAACACATGCATGCAGCCAGCTGTACAGATCAGCACAGACAGAAAACAGCACTCATGCAGACAAAGCCAACACCAACAGCTTTATCCTGTTGCACTCTCTCGCTGATCAGGTTGCAGACCTGTTAGTGGACCTACATATGTACAATATGGATCCCCCAGTAAAGATCCTAGATGCTCAGTCTTTCTAGTAACTGGCCTTGGATCCCCAGTCACCCCAGTCGCTGGCACATACAAGCGCACAATGCTTGCAAGCCTACTCACTTGCTGTTACAGACCCCCTCAGTCAGACACGCATGTGCCCACACTCTCACTCAAACACCATGAATCCCACAGTAGCTAGATTTAGACAGATTCAGATGATGCAGTATCTGGCCCTTATATCCCCTCATCTCCATCGGATGGAGAGGAAGAGGGCGGAGAAACAGAGACTGAGACACAGAAATGGGTATCTCAGTCAACCTCCAGACCTTACAGTCTTTCCAGTAGTTGACCTGGATGCCCTGATCTGTCTGGTAGCCAAAAATCTCTAGTTGTCTCACTTGGAGACACACACACATGTCTAGTCCAGACCTATGGCCCCACTTCAATATCTGGCTTCCCAAGCCACCTAGCCTGGCTTGATATTCTCTAGCAGTCACACACTGATGCACATACTTGCTCTGGTTGTTGGTACTGCAGTAATATGGGTCCCTATAACCCATGGCATGACTCTGGTTGCTGGAGCTTAAATCTCCATATAACACATGCATATGGAATAGAGACTGCCTCACTTAGGAAAACAGTTAGAAATAGTTTAATGAGAGGACAGGACTGTAGTCACCAAGTGCAGAGCAGGGCCAGACAAGCATGCTGAGCCGCAAAGCATGTACATACAGCTGGCTCCTTTTATGCACCTATCCTTCTATTTTCCTACACTTACTCCTCCCAAAATCATCTAGGTCCCTCCCTTTTCCTGCCTTTCATTTCTCTCATAAACATCCTGTAGTAAATCTTGTACAATCCCAAAATACTCTTTCTGGCATCACACAGTGAATCTCATAGGAGTGTTACTAGCTGCAGGGCTAAGTCTGAAAGGTGTTCTGGAGAGCCTCTCTCAATCATGACAGGTTCGTTTCAATACCATAAGGCTGGTGGCTTTTCTGTGGCAGCTTTCTGAGGAACCTGGGCAGGGACTCCTTCCTTCTAGTGATTTTTTTTCCTTTTTTAAAAATTTTTTTTTACTCTTAATGAGCTGAGTGCTCTCATGTGTTGGTCCTGGGAATAGCTGGGTCAGGATGTTATTGTACCTCTGTACTCCACCTCTGTACTCTTCTGTGTGCAGAGAATCCTTTTATCATGTAACCTAACAAGGGAATGGATTTTAAGACTCTTCCTGCTATTTGAGTAATTTGTTTTTTGTTAGCATCTGATTCTAGCACACAAAAGACTTTTTGGCCTGAATTATTCTCCGTACACAGAATGTCCTTTGATTTCCTGATAATACCAAAACTATTTGGAGAAGTTTGGCAGGAATGGTCTGTTAGTGCCAATAAGGCACAGCAGTATCTGGACAGCAAGCTACTCCATGGAATTTTAAATTGATGTTTCTGTTTCTTCTCTTCATGACAGGTGAAGTTTGTTTTACTAGTCCAGATTAAAGAGTTTATTGGCAATTGGTGCAAAACTGGAAGATTCTGAAATCTAACTTGATTACTAAATGACCTTTTATCCATCTTTCCTCCGATCTCCAGATACGATTGCATCTGTGTATATAACTTGTATTGTTTCTTATCGCAGGTTCATATGGTATCCTGTGCTTATATGATGCTAGTGGCAAGATTTTGAAATCATCCTTGCAAATATAATGAAAAGATTTTTTTTTTAATGTGGAAAAGTACAGCACATGGTGAAAAATACAGCAGCACAATCTGGAGAACCTGGCCTCACACCTTTCTAGTTTGTGAGTTCCTGACTGGTAGTAAAACAGACATCTAGTTCACACAGCAAAGGGAAACTGATGAAACTAATGTACTATAAGGGTTTCCATGGTGGTTTAGAGGGCCTGCACATCCTTCACAAGTTTTCACTTCATGGAAACATCCTAGGCACCATAATGCAAGTTTTTGAACTGCTGTAGCTGCAAATTCCACCTTACCTGAACTAGAATAAGCTTCATGGTTACATGTGAGTGGAGTTGTAGTAAGTAGTCCTTGGTAATAGGATTTGAGAACTGCTTATAGAAAGCATGTGAAATTCTGTTGTCACATTTTCAAAATTTACTTTTATAAATACCGTATCTGACAGCACTAGTTTACCGCAGGACCAAGGGAGAGAGTATAGGTTTCGTGGATCACTTGAAGAAGAATCAGTACTGGGAACTGCTGTCAAATTAACCAGTCCCCTGGCAGGCCCAGTTGGCTTGCCTGCAAATAAAAGCCTTTAACAGGTAGTTTCAGCAGATGTTTCAAAAAGGGTCATGACTGGTAGCTCTATAATTCAGCAATACAGATCACATACTGATGACAAGACTGTCCTTTGGCCTATGTGTAATGAGCAAGTAATTTCAGAAGACTCACTCTGAAGTTGGTCAAAATCATAGTCCTGGAGGGGATGTTTTCTTTGATGTGAAGATCAGTCAATAGTTTATATGTTCTCCTGCATCTAGTTACTCTATCTTCTGCAAGCATTTGAGTAAGAACAGGTAACAGTTTATTCTAGTAGTGCCTGTATGCTCCATTTCCTTTTTGGTTTCCATGACTTCTCTACCTGTTTGATAGTCCTGTAGCTCAGTTAGTGCTCCAGTCAGACTTCTGGATGCAGATTCAATATTCCAGTCTTCCTTGCACTTAGTGTCATGGTATTTGGATGGATGTCTGATCTAGAAGATCTTGTTAATTAGTGGCTTAATCAATCCTAACAACAAAGATTTCAGGCATAGTGTGAACAGCAACATTTGTGCCCGGTATAGTCAACATTGCCAGGTACACTGGGAGGAGTTTTATCATTGAATGTGTCAGACCTTTTGCTTTTATCGCTTAGGGTGCATTTCAAAGCTGTTAGTATCTTCTGTCAATAGAAAACTCTGCTGCATACTTGCACCTACTTGCAGCAAGATTTGGAAAACAAGTTTTAAAAGTCCCATCACTAGTATTTAATAGATTCCATACTATTACTAGTAGATAATGGGAGCAGATCACTCTTAGCTCTTCAGCCTGTAGTTTTATTTTCTATCCAAGAATACTGCTGCCGTATCTAAAACATCAAGAAATAGGTGGGGGAGGAAAGTGAGTTCAGTTATCAGAGCCCTTACTGAATATTGATCACCTAACAAAACTCTTATTTTTCAAAGTTTCTTGGTAATAAGTGCTCACTTCTTTCTCTTTTTAAATTTTATAATGATTTTGAAAATTTGAAATAAGGCCTATTAGAATTTTGGCTTTTCCTCTGAAGGTTTTGGTCTTTGCCAGAAGACCCAGTAAACCTTTTTTTAACAAAAATAGAAGTAATAAAAAGTGATTATAAAAGTACTTAGGGAACAACATGCTGTTGCTTTGCTTATGCTGATGGTGACTTCTAACAAAGTTTTGTTATCCATTTATCATAGAATCATTGAGGTTGGAAAAGACCTCTAAGATCATGAAGTCCAACCATCAACCCAATACCACCATGCCCACTAAACCATGTCCAGAAACACTATATCAACATGGTTTTTTTTACCACCATCCAGGGATGGTGACTCCACCACTTCCCTGGGCAGCCTATTCCAATGCCTAACCACTGTTTCAGTAAAGAAATTTTTCCTAATGTCTAATTTAAACCTCCCCTGGCACAACTTGAGGCCATTTCCTCTTGTCTTATCACTGGTTACTTGGGAGAAGAGACTGATCCCCACCTCACTACCACCTCCTTTCAGGTAGTTGTAGAGAGCAATAAAGAGAGACCGCCCCGTGCCCCCCAGCCACTCCTCATCAGACCTGTTCTTCAGACCCTTCAGCAGCTTCGTTGCCCTTCCCTGGACACGCTCCAGCACCTCCATGTCGTTCTTGTAGTGAGGGGCCCAAAACTGCACACAGCATTCGAGGTGCAGCCTCAAGAGGGCCTCACCAGATCACCTTGCTACTCCTGCTGGCCACACTATTGCTGATACAGGCCAGGATGCTGTTGACCTTCTTGGCCACCTGGGCACACTGCTGGCTCATGTTCAGCCGGCTGTCGACCAGCACCCCCAGGTCCTTTTCTGCCGGGCAGCTTTCCAGCCACTCCTCCCCAAGCCTGTAGCGCTGCCTGGGGTGGTTGTGACCCAAGTGCAGGACCCGGCACTTGGCCTTGTTAAACCTCACACAACTGGCCTCAGCCCATCGATCCAGCCTGTCCAGGTCCCTCTGCAGAGCCTTCCTACCTTTGAGCAGATCAACACTCCCACCCAATATAGCGTCATCTGCAAACTTACTGAGGGAGCACTCAATCCCTTAAGATATTAAACAAGACCGGTCCCAATACTGAGCCCCGGGGAACACCGCCTGTGACTGGCCACCAGCTGGATTTAACTCCATTCCCCATCATTCTCTGGGCTTGGTCATCCAGCCAGTTCTTTACCCAGTGAAGAGGATGCCTGTCTAGACCATGAGCCATCAGCTTTCTTAGCAGAATGCTGTTGGAGACTGTGTCAAAGGATTTGCTATAGTCCAGGTAGATGACATCCACAGCCTTTTCCTCATCGACTAAATGGCTAGGTATTAGAGCCTTATTGAAGGCAGCTAGATAGTCACTTTGTGCATTTGTAGCTGGAAAGGTTATTCTGTGCATTAGGGCAGTTCATCACTTGGCGTTAAAACTGAAATGTACAATAATGACCAAACCCTTACTCCTCTCTAATTGTGTCCATGTTGAAATGACTTTTCAAAGGCATAGGGTTTTGCATCTGTATGGGTCTTTGTACCTACTTTCTTTTTTTATTTTCTTATGCCTTGGCTTTTAATTCTCCCATGCTGTATAGATCCACAATGAAGCAGCAGCTGGAATGCAAAGTTGGTCCTTACCTACCTAAGAAGCAAGTTTGACAATAATGGATGTTTCTGGCAAATTTTTCTCTGCTCTTCGAGTATGAAAAGGCCGATACAAAGATTGTTGTATGCAACTTTGTTTTTTCCTCTGTTTTTACTATTTATATAGGACTTCAAGCAGTCTATTTTTCATCAGCTTGCACACCAACTTTGTATAGGTACAATTAAATAAAATGTCTAAATTTTTGAGTTCCAATACTTCTGACTAAAATTAGTAAAGTCTTGCTTGAAGTGTTATATTGATAATTAGATAATAAAGATGTGATTCTGCTTTGTCCTGATGTTCATTCACTGCTGAATTCATTCATGCTGAAATTCCCTTCTGCAGAAGCAGCAGGATCCTTGTGACTTAACGTCTGAAACTCAGTCAGGTTCTCCCTAATGGCCTGGCCTGCCTTAATGTTTCTTAAATCCTAAAATTTTTATGAGTTTAAGTATTAAGATTCTTACCAGACACACATAAGTGGTATAATATAAAGGTAATCTTTATAATTTAATTTTATATTCCTTCAATTCAGTTTTATATTCCATGATTAACTTTATTTTCAGTCAAATTCTTTTACAATCAGTTCTTTGGAATACTTGATTTTTTTGGAAGTGTTTTTTTCAATACTCTGGGTTCCCAGCTTGTGTCTAAACATCAACAAACCTAACCTCTTTTAATTTTGGATATGTCTGATGAAAGGAGTAAAAAGAGTTTTTGTTTTTCCTTCTAGTCTTGATCCAGAGCAAAAGGAAATGTTAATTGAAGTGATAGAGAAGCTTTTGAAGGATAGAAGTACGGTAAGAAACAGTATGCTACTACATATGGGTATATTTTTAAAGAGTTTACTCCTGAGGCTGTCATTCAGTAGTAAATAATACACTTTGCTGATAACACTTGCTGATGTGGTTTTATATGTTTTTAAATAGAAATATCATTGTATGTTTATGCATTATACTATGACTGTAATAGTGACCATCTCCTTTAATACGACTGCTAATTTTACTTGCATCGTGGATATTCTTAATCTGGTTTTGTTAGCATGTTTTTTATGTATGCTTCTTTAAACTTAATTTTTAAAATGAAAAGTTATATAATGATATGAATCAGTGTATCAGTGTACAAGTGTCTATGTATAAACACTTTTTCATTGGGAAATTAGCTAGGTCATTTCAATTTGCTTGTGATACTGTAAGAATAAATTATCTCTGTATGATGCACAGTATGCCTGTTAACATCGGTTTGCCTTGTACTGTGTACAACTGTTACTTACTGCGCACTTGTTTGTTCTTGCAAATATCCCCGCTCCCAATCTGGTAAGTGAAACTGATGCCCTGGGACAATTTCTGTAAATTTAACGCTCCTGTTATATTTTGCCTGCCCTATATAGGTACAGGTTTTCTGTATGAACTCCTGGATGTCTCACAATGGTCACACATTTAACTTTTCTTCCTGTACCCTACCGATAAGTTTCCCAAGTCTAAGCCAGAAAGGTAATTGAGCAAGGAATCAAAGATAGACTTCAAATAGAAAACAGAGTTGTAAATTAAAACATTCTCTTGTTCTTGTTCAGATTACTAATTTAGTGAATGTAATCCTTTTTGAGTAAATGAAAGTATTACTAGGTACCAGATAGCATGTTTCTTCATCTCCTGTTTGCCAAGTGTTTTTGTAACACACAAGTGTATATTTTCTATTGTTCCAGCATAGTCCAGATGTTCAGGATATAAATGGTGCTGTTCTTTAAAAGACATCTTGCAACTTCCACTGAAGGGTTACTGAAGGAGGGTATTAGAGCTTAATGGCTTAGCAGACAGTAAATCAGTTAGTTCTCCTGACTGCATCAATGCTTGACCCGTACTCGTTTGTCAGAGGCCTTTGTGCTTCTGTGGAGTTGTTCCCCCAGTGGTTCTTTGTGTATTTTCTTTTCATGGTTCATGCTCTTGGTGTTCATGCAATCTGTGAATGTGAGATTAATTCTTTGTATCTGTGGAGGTATAAAGGACTGAGAAGCCATCTTTGTTTCTTTTTAGATGGCAGGAAAATAAAATCTGAGTTTTCATGCTATTTTCTAGTCCTTATTGCTTATCCAAAAAACTAGTCATTTACACGTTTGCTTTAACAAAATGTTAGAGGAAAAAGAAATATAGAGCAGGTTTGGATCTTCTCTTGCCCCAGCACACTGATCCTGACACTTGGAGTTACTTATGGGGTGATTAATGCTCACTGCTTAGTTTGTGCTACAGTTCCGGTGCCTCTGTTACACTGAATAATGGACACTGTATTTATGAAGGTACCAGCTGAAGCGATAGTCAAAGTTATGCTATTTTGTCGGCATATTCAAGAAGCTAAGAATGATGGTCTAGAATTGGGCTTTCTGGACATCATTGGAGACATAATATGATTAACTACCACAATGTTCTCCTCCCTCTGAGTCCTCTTGGTCTGTTCCTTAGCCAGACCTGATTCCAGCCTGGGCTGAGACATCTCAGCTTCTAAAGTTTTACTCTTTCAGGAAGTGATATGAAGAATTACTATTCCAAAAAAGGAATCTCTCTTCAGCACTGTCTGAATCAAAACCAAGTATTAGTATGTGCTCTTTCATCCAAGACTGCACAGCTTGTTGTGTTCTGAAGTGGATCAGTCTCTCTTTAGTCCTTGATAGCTTTGGGAAGACCAGTCTAGCTTGTAAAAGCTTCACCTTAAGTAGTTACCTTTTGTCATATTCTATTGAATGTTCCCAGAAAGCCTCCACAGGTAGTAACAGAAAGCACATGGTGCATAAGTGTTTTATTAGCAGGTAACTCCAATCTGAATAAGCTTATTCCTTGCCTGTAGTTGGAGAACATAGCAATTTGCCCACAGTGGAGGAAACAGAATGCCACTTGTATCTACTTTTAGCTTTTAAAATTGGAGAAGATGCAGCTGCTTATGGGTGATGGCCCTTATATACAGATGTGTACATATGTAGCCTATATAGCCTTAGATTGGCTACTTTTAAGTCTTATTTAAGCTCCCCTTGGGAAATATGTATTAATTTGAAGCACCTTTTTTTTATACCCTAAGGGAAGCTGAATTTCTTACACTTAGTGTAAAAGGAAAAGCTCCTTCTACATACATAAAGAAAAAGCCTTTTAGAAAATATTTTGCAGTCTCTGCGAAGAAGGTCAGGTTTGTTGCTACAGGAATTCTACAAATGTGTCCGAGTTGTAGAACAGCAGCATTTTGTCACAGCCTTATAAAGTGCACATTTGCCTAACAGTATTTCTCAGGTTTTTGCAGCTTCCGTTGCCTGTTTGACAGTCAGATGTCCTGAAATTTGTAGGGTGATAGTGTGGGATTCGGATCACAAGTGTTTACTTGACACTAATCTTTGGATTTCTTCAATTTAAATGCATAGAAGCTGTTCCCTTACATCAACATTAGTTGTCATCTCCTGATAGTTTTAGTGTAATGTCAGCAGAACAGTTTGTTGGGAAAGTGATGGTGTTTTCATTAAATAGTGTCTTTACCAGAGTGGGAGAGTCTTAGTGACTTTGGGAATTGTCGAACATTGTTGGTTCTCCACCTTTTTCCCCTTGATGGAAATGTCAGGTTACTTTTGGCATTTCTGTGTGCTTAATTGTAGAATCATAGAATGTATTGGGTTGGAAGGGACCTCTAAAGGTCAAATCGTCCAACCCCCCCTACAATAAGCAGGGACATCTCTAACTAGGTCAGGTTACTCAGAACCCCATCAAGCCTGACCTTGAATGGGATGGGGCTTCCACTACCTCTCTGAGTAACCTGTTCCAGTGACCCACCATCCTCATATTTAAGAACCTTTTCCTGATATCCAACCTAAATCTACCCTTTTCTAGCTTATAAACCATTACACCTCGTCCTATCACTACAAACCCTTGTTTTCCCCCGCCTTCTTATAGGCCCCTTTCAGGTATTGGAAGGCCCCTATAACGTCCCCCGGGACCCTTCTCTTCTCCAGGCTGAACAACCCCAACTCTCTCAGCCTGTCGTCATAGGAGAGGTGCCCCAGCCCTCTGATCATTTTTGTGGCCCTCCTCTGGACACACTCCAAAAGGTCCTCATCCTTCTTGTGTTGGGGGCTCCAGAGCTGGACTGCAGTACTCCAGGTGAGGTCCCACCAGGGCAGAGCAGAGGGGCAGAATCCCCTCTCTCAACTGCTGGCCACGCTTCTTTTGATGCAGCCCAGGGTGCGATTGGCCTTCTGGGCTGCAATTCTGCACTGGTGGCTCGTGTCCAGCTTTTCATCCACCAGTACCCCCAAGTCTTTTTCCACAGGGCTGCTCTCAAGCATGTCTTCTCCCAGCCTGTATTGATACTGGCAGTTGCTCTGGCCCAGGTGTGGCAACCTGCACTTGGCCTTGTTGAACCTCATGAGGTTTACCTGGGCTCACCTTAAGGGCTGATAATCAGACAAGCCATAATGCATTGTATATAATAACTGGATGTGGGAAAATCCCTAGTGTGATTTTTTTTGTTTGGTTGGTTTTTAGTTCGTAATCCATTTGGTTTAGGCATATTTGGAGAGAGAGTGTAATTATTAACAATGTGCGTATAGTTGAATGTTGTTCGAGTGATGTTTGAGACTTCACTTTAATAAAAAGTAAATTTTTACTCATAAGTTAATTATTTCTGTAACCATTTGGCCTCAAGCAGGATTTTTGAAACTTGCTGGCATAATGTCTACATTAAAGTGAGATAGAATAGCTGCTAAACATAGCTGCCTCTAAATTTATGTAAGCCAGATTTTTTTTTTTTCCAGAGAACATGCTGTTGTGGATTATTAATGCAGTTTATGTTGCACAATGTATTTAAATTAGTTATTTTACATTTGAAATAGCAAGAAACTGTCTGGATGGGAATTTTACTACAGTAAAATTAAGCCATTTTATCAGACTGTACAAAATGTGTTCATTTTTTAGGTCTCAATCAGTAGTAAATTTTCAAATAAGCTGAGGTAAGCAAAACTTAAAATAAGATGATATCTAGCAACATAGCACTTCATTAAAATTTCTGGTGAGATAAATGAAAGATCAGTCTACTACTTAAGCGACTTAACACGAAGATTCAATTAAAAATCAAGCTCTCAGTTAATCTAAGATGCAAAATTATCAAGTGCAAACCATCGTTAACATACCCTCAAGGGTAGGTAACTGGGAATTAGCGTGTGTCAACAAATCTGGTTTTGTGCCAGTGTATTTAATTTTTAAACAGGTAAAATGTTTACAAGTATTTTCATTATAGAGATGTAAGAAACTCCCAGTTATGTTTTCACCCTTGCTTTACATAAAAAAATTGCCTCAGACACTGATAAGCAAGAACAAGAGCATGAATGCCAGCTCCTTTTATTTTTCTAGTAATTCTGGATAATTGAGCAGCTGATATGATTTTGTGTAGAAAGGAAGATAAGAGCATGTGTGTATTTTATGCTAAAATTATTTTCTCAAAGTAATGTAGCTAGTCATGTAGTCACGTGTGAAAGTATAATTGGGTACTTTATGGGAAACTAGTTCCCTTTTTGAGTTGATTATATATCATTTCACTCTATTCTTTCCATTCACTTAACAAGCCTGTTTATCTAGCTTTGGGGCATAGGGTGTAAGGCAGAATTTGTTGCTTAAGTTGCTTTTGGCCTGTTGTGAAGGACTGTAGAACTGCATTGTGTTTGTAGCCTGTGTGTTTTACACATCTGTGTAAACAACAATAAAAATCAAGTTCGTTAATGATACCTGAGTTACAGCAGGTAAAAAACTAACAAACAGACAAACATGTTGATATTGAAAAGGAACCATGTCTGTTGTCCAAACCTGTAACGTGAAAAGAACTTGTGACTTGCATTCCTCAGTCCAAACTAATGTATCCCAAAGTCTATCTAAAGCTGCATCTAGAAAGAAAAGGCAGAATGTAGACCTGTAGCTGGAATGTAGTTTTATGGTTGCTGGGCATATTAAAACCCCCAAATTTATTGCAGCTCTCTGTTTTAACTTTGGTCTGATTTTTAGTTTGTTTGGGCAACATATAAGGAAAGCTAATGAAGTTTGTGTGGCAATATAAATGCATGTGCTGCATGATAAAATTTTTTTCAGCCCCATCCAGAGAACTGGGTTAATATGTAGTGGAATATATTTTGTGCTGTAGCATAGCTTGCTATTATAGCTCCTGTTCTGGGACCAAGTAGTATATAGAGCGGAGCACTGCTTTTGAACTCTCCTAAGGCAGAAGAATGTTAGAGAGAAATTTCAAAACATATTGGCTAAACTTGCAGATGGTCATTGATTCCTGAGAGTGTACTTCTGAATGTTATGTCCCCAGAAACCTCTGTGGTGAAGTAACATGGGAAGGGATAGAGGCAAGTTTTGGACGAAGACTGACATTAAATTAGCTTATTGCATGAAATCTGTTAGCTGCTAATTAAGACTTACACTCTTATCTGAAGGCTAAATTTTCCTTTAGCCTCTGTTTAAATAGTATTTTTTTCTTTAATGAGAATATTTTAATCACATTAAACTACTTCTAATATTTAAATAAATTTATTATTCTATTCTGGTGTATGAAATTTACTCCTAAATGCAACAGGTGCAACTTAGTTTGAGTTCTGTTTTGGTGATGGAAAGATTTAATACAGATGTGTGAGTGTTGAGATTTGTTTTGCAGACTGCATGGTTATTAGATGAAGCATGGATTCTTGTGAAGTGAGACCCCTTAGGTTAAAAAATGATCCTAGGAACTGGTGATGGCTTTGCAGTGAAGATCTTGATCTTTTAAACTAAAACAGTGCATTTGGGGATAATGGGGAAAGGAAGCTGGGCTATCTACTTTTCATCAGTAGGCTTCTGTTAGTAAGTTAATGTTTTGGTTCAGAATCCAAATGTGTGGTTAAGACAATGTTTTCTTAACTTATTGATTTAACATTGGTAAAAGCTTCACTTTTCTGAAAAAAAAAAATTACTGGGTTTGTGCAGATGTTTTATTGTGATAGATCTATTATCCAGCTATTAGAAGATAAATGACTGATCTTTTCTAGTTTCCTTGCCTCCAGAAAATTGAAATAAGAAGAGGAATATCATTTGGGCTGTATGATTAGGGCAGGTGGGATGGCCATTAATTTAAGAGAGAGGAATCTTGGCAGCATAGGCCAACTTGCAATGTATTATCAATCAAACCTCAATGCACTTCGTGTGATGACCCAGCACACTCAGGTTTTTGCAGCGTTAATTAGAATTCATGACAAAATAGATGCAAGGAAACGTTTTGTACCCTTCATAATTTTATAGAAAATTTATTGTTATTAGAGGAACCATTTGCTTAGTGTGATTTTTTTCATTACCAGCTTGTCAACTAGCATAGATAATCTGGAGAAAATATGAACTCCATAGATTGGGTGTCACTTTTGTTGATGGTTCATATAGTTTACCTTGGAGCACAGCTAATGGCTGAAGTTCATAGCAACAGCACAGAAAAACGTGGCAACCAGTGGAAGACAAATGAACCATGTTTATTGCTTTAATATAAAAAATACATAAATGGAAAGCTGCATTTGAGTTTGATGAGCTCATTGCTAGTTTTGTTGGAATGATTTATATTTTCTCCTTATACAAAAAGCTACTATTGACATAGCGAGATGGAAATTAACTGACTCTTTTTTGGAAACCGATATTTTTTGGTTTTATGTTCTGATTGGATCATTTTGTTTTAATTCTAAATATTTTTATGGAATGTTGAGCATTTAATATACAAAGATTATTAGCTGTTCTTCTGATGTTTAGATGTATAGTAGGATCATACTATAGGGGAAATGCTGTCAACTAGAAAATAATCTCTTACTAAGAAAGCATTAGGAATTTTCTCAGATTAATCCTCTTGTTACCAGTGCATTTTCAATCTGTCTTGCATTCTCACTTTTTTTTTCCCCACCTGTTAAATGAAAATCCTAATTTTGGAAAATGCAATAATGAGGAGAGGGACATGATCTTAAATAGTGTCATGATGTATGGCAATTCCTGTATTAACTTGTAAATCTAGAAACTTGCCACAGGAGTAAAATGCTTGTTCATCCAGTACACCTCTTGCGTTTCAGAGTGTATGTTCAAATTTTTATTAGTATCTTTTAAGTGTTCACAAGTGATACCGTTCTCATTGTGAGCTTGAGTAAGTGACTGATGTAAATTACAGTGAGGAATTATTTAGAATTCCTATATTTCAGTATGACTGTTTCTTTGTATCAAATTTTCATGTTTTACTCACAGGAGCTGAACTTCTAAAAAGCCAGTGCTGTTCATAGGATATGTGCTCAGTTTTAAAAGGTTTAAACTAGTGTTGTATGTGTTATTTTATGTCAGCTTTCGAACTGTATCATACCCAAATGAAAAAGAAATACAACAAAATGCGTGTGCAGTACTAGTAGCAATAAAAGGCAAGGGTATCCACTCCACAACTAGTTGGACACCAGCATCTGTGTCGTCCTTCACCTGTGAACCTAGAAGGGTGTTTTTAAATATTAGGCTGTGACTGTTCTTATAGTCATAAATTGATCTGTGTGTCAGTCTCTCTCCCTCCCTCCTTCCTTCCCTCCTTTTCTCCCTTTGTACGTCAAACCTGTCAAGAGACCCTATACTGTCTTGTAGTGTCGGGGAATAGAATATCCATAATAAAGTCTATAGGACAGCGACATAAAGAGTCTCCATGGTCTAAAAGTGTCATCCCTTCTAAAACTTCAAGTCCGTCACACAGTCCTCTGCAAGCTGGCCTTAACTGTAGTTCAGAGTTTTGCATCCTAAGAAAATTGCGTTGCTGCAGGCGAGTTCTAATGTATAGCGCTTCACACCCTTCCTCTCTTCCATGCTCAGCTTATCTGGACTGATAGTTATTTGCCTGGAGTTAACGACTGTCTTCTGAGCTTTGAACCCACACCTAAGCATCATTTCACAGCAGTTTTTAATTACAGAATAGCTTACTGCAGCACATTGTTAGGAAGAAAGTTTAGTGCAACAACATAAAAAAAAAAAAAGCTATTGTTTTTGTGATACAGCAAAAAATAGCAAATTATTTTAGGTGTAAAGTGTGTTTTATTTAGCTCTATCAAATAATCAAATTTTGCTCCCTGGAATGAGTTGTATACTTGCTGGGACCAGCAGGTACCAGTATGTGGTCGGGGCTGGAGACAATAAATGCAACTTCACGTTTATTCTTATTGGTAATTCATAAAATCCCCACAGAGCCTGCAACTTGTTTAGCATAATAGCAAGACTATATTCTGAGCTGTTTTCTTTCAATTGTAATGTTGGGTGCATACTAATAATCCAAATGTCAGCCAAATACAGGGAGAAAAATGTAACATATGAATATCATTGTATTTAATATTTCTCAAAAAGTACCATTTCCATAAACTGCACTTCTATTTAATTGCTTACTTTAAGTCATTGGGGAAATTTTAGAGGTTGAAATGCAGATCCCCAGTGCTCAGATAGAATATGACATTAATTTGCTGCCAGAAGGCTATACTGCATGCATGCTAACTGCATACATATCAGCTGCTTCATATAAAGTCTCATCATTTTGGTTATTTGACTTAACATGTACTCTGACACAAAACAAATCTTAATTAAAGCAATTAGAAGAGAAAGAACAGTAATTCCTGGCACACAATGACATGTCCTTCTAAGGTATGGTCAGTTTTTGAGGTTTTCCCCACAATTAAAGTAACCTGCTGCCAGAATTTTAACAGGAAACCAAATATGTTCCCTTTCTTTATTTTTAAAAGGAAATGCCCTATCAGAAGGTTTCAATAAGCCTTGAGGTGTTAGAATGTTGAGAATCTACTTGATTTTCTTATGAAAACAAAGCTGGTTTTGTAATCATAGTCAGTATGAGGATGTTTGTGTATGTATAAAGATTTATTTGTTATGGAGGTAAAAAATTGTGTGAGGACATAGCAGGGCATAAATGATCCATTCCTGTAATTTTGGAACTGGGAGGGAAGTGCTGAACAACATGCAGAAATTCTGCTAGTGTTCTTTGAGGAAAAGTATTAATATATCTCTGTATTGTATTGCTGATTTTTATGCCTTTTTTTGAAAAGTGTATTCATGAAACTCTAACTATAAAATTTCATGTGACAGTTAATTTGGCCATATTGAGAGAAAAGTTTTGATCCCGGTAGTGCTGGAAAGCTTACCCAGCTCCTCTTTAGTTTGATCACGCCAGTGTTGATAAGAGAATCTCAATAGACCTTGTCGGGCGTATCACTATATTATACTTCTTATTGTTTCCTGTTATTTCTGAGTTAATTGGAAGTTCTCTGATAATTCATTTGGAAACTATAACTGTAAGAAAAAAAATTTATGCTTACATCGCATTGTGTCTTCAGGGCTGGGAGCTAAGATTTATGTGCGTAATAGAAACAGCAAATGTTTTCTCCATTCTAATAAACTTACTCCAGTTCTATTTTAAATAAGATACCATTTCTGTGGGCTTAGGGTTTTTTTGTTGTTGTTGTTGTTGCTTTTCATTGACTAGAAACAATTTGAAATTGCGGAGAATTGCTAGTATTAATTCTGATTCTCACTTGTGGATGAACCGTAGAAGGAACACTGACCTTCTGGGGTTTATTTTGTTTTCTAGCTGGTAGCTGGGAGCGTTGTGATGGCATTTGAGGAAGTGTGTCCGGATAGAATAGATCTGATTCACAAGAACTACCGAAAGCTCTGTAACTTGTTGGTTGATGTGGAAGAGTGGGGTCAAGTTGTTATAATCCACATGTTAACTCGATATGCACGTACACAGTTTGTAAGCCCATGGAAGGTAAGTTTGTGACTTTTTAAATTGCTGTTGTGTGCTTGCATTCTGAATTATTTCCATTGTTGGATATACTTAGTCTTTTGAGATGCTTTTTTACACAGACTTTAATAAAAATAGGAATCAAACGCATGTCTTACCTCTCTAAGGCTTCGCTAACACAAGGCATCCACCCTTCTTCAGCGCATGAGAATTCTCCTTACAGGCTGTAACCTGTTCTGATTTATCCTGGACACATCCCATGGGCAGAAGAGAGAGTCCTTTTTTCCACGGTTCTTTGAGCAGTATGGCTTTTTGCTCTAGGAGACTTTATGTGAGTCAGAGCTGGAAAGGTGTGCCACTGTCCCCAAACTGTGTAAAATCGACTTTCTTTGTACATATGAATCGACTTTCTTTGTACATATGAATCGTGATGAACATTATGTCACTTGTCTAGGCTTTGTTAATGTGCTGAGGGACTGTGTGGAGACTTGAATATGTATCTCTGAAATGTGCAATGTAAAAATTTTTCTGGTATTGTCATTTATATTCTGTAAATAGGAGTATATGCTTACTTAATATTTATAAAAAGGGGTATTCAAAATACAAATCCTATCACTCCTAGTAACAAAAAATGTAGACAGCTCAAGAAATTCATGCTATTAACATTGGTTTCGATAGGGATTTAACTCTGAATAACAATTTAAATTAAAAGACAGAATTCTTCTGGAAAGAACTGTATAAAATCTCTCCACAGCTCGGGTTGTTTGCATTTATTACAGCCTTGGGGGTGTTACTACTGTTAAGTTTTACCATTTAATTTGAAACTAATTCATGTTTAAAGATGTACATGTTCATTGATATATATACTGTTTTACAGCAGTAGTTGCAGATGAACTTTGTACAGTTGTATAAAAGGATGTTTAGGGTACCTACTTGTAATGAATATAAGGTGATCCTAGAACTTTAGAGAGAAAATTTCATAATTTGATATTTTTATTTATTTATTTCTCTCTGTGACTTTAGACTGAAGGAGTTCTGTTATAACTCAACTAATGTGTCTTAACACTTCTGCTCAGGCTTTGTTATTTCAGTGCAGATTATTGTGGAGTGTAATTAGCATATTAACAAATTTTTAGACGTTTCTTTTTTTCAGCATTGGAATACAGAATGACACCAGCTATCACCAAGTTCTTTCAAACTGTCTTTTAATACCCTTTGCCTTGGAATCAAACTGAAATGCAATGATTCTATGTTAGTATATGTATAACTTATTAGTGACAATAATTAAAGGAGATGTATTTGAACAAACAGCTAATTTAGTTTACCTGATTTAGTTTACAGTTATATTCACGTACTCTTAAAGAAGCAGGGGTCATAAAACTAGAAACATAGCAAAAATGTCTGAAGTAGAATCATATTTTTGCATTACCGGTTTGGCTCTGGAACATCCTTTTTCATTTCAGATGAAAATTAAATTGTTTATAAGAACACATCTTTACAGAAAATTGCTTAAAATAAGGAAAGTATTTTTAGATAGTGAGGCACTTAAATAGTATGTTTTCCTAATGTCCTTGAAGCAGAGTATTTATTACATGTTGCTTTTTAAAAGAAAGTAACTGGCAGTCTTCTTTCTGACCTTTGGAAAGAATTAAAATTGATAGTTTGCTTTGCCTAAAGCTACAGATGCATGATTGGTTTAAGCCAGTTCTAGTCTGTGATTGGACAAAGGAAGAGTAGAAGAGGAGGATGACCTCCTGTCTTGGACTGGGGTTGGAGGTCTTGATGGGATTAGGTTTCTTTAAGACCAATGTACTTTTTTAACAAACTGGATTGATTACAGATGTTGCTGTGGCTTCTGCTTTAGGAATGTAAAAGGTTTGTGTAACAATACAGCCTGTGTCAACCTAAAATTGGTCATGAGTGATATAGTATTAATAACACTTTGTTTCCACTTTCATGAGCTTCAGTGCAAAATTCAGTTTGTCTACATACTCAGCAATTAAATTAGCAGAAATTTTTTGCTGGGGATAGTTGAAATGCATGCCTTTGTCAATAAATGAACTCATCATACAACAGGGCATCTTGTGCAATAGAAGAGATTTTTAATTTAGTTTATTTGCATCATTATGGATCAGTATTTAGGCTGTTTATATGTAAATGTATGATTTGAGGAACAATTAAGTGTTGACAAAGTAGATTGCAGTCATATCAATTGCAGTGCATTTTCCATAATTTTTCTAACTGACATCTTTGATGATAAATAGTGGATGCCAAGTCAAAGCCGATTATACAGTGCACTAGGAATTCATGGCGCTGTCAGGGAGAAGACCGATTGACTTTAAATTTACATATTAATGAGAAGATTTGTTAAGAGGGTGCTTGACTATAGAAAATAACAGCATATTTATAGGGCACGACACTTTATAAATAAAGCTGATGCAGGAAAATGGAAATTAAACCTATCAGATTAATAAATTCAAGGCTGCTAAAATGCATATTTGCATTTTTATTCACTAAAATTTACCTTACTTTTTGAGAAATGTATGCTGCTTTTGTTCAAGTTGAGCTGATTCCCAACAAGTAATGGTGTAATGTTTTGAATTTATTTCTTGTGTATTTAGAAACATGAAGAAAAATTTGGAATACTTACAGTTACAGAGAAAAATCCTTTTTTGAGCAATATGCTTAAAATTGTTGCAAAACTTCAATCAAATTACCCATTAACCAAGAGAATTTATATTCCTATTTTTAGCTTCTCTGAAGGGTAGAATTTTTAATTCTGATAGTGAATGCTGTGAGGAAGAATGTCCTTGATTTATCCTATTTGTGTTGAAATACTTAGAGGGTGTTTTTGAAGTAGTTACATGTGGATAGCTGTTTCGAAATAACCTTTTTTCCATATGAACTGTATTCAGCTTTAACATGTATTAACTGGAATGAGAATACCTACTTGAGACTAACTGGGAAGAACAATTTCAACAGTTTTCTGGGAAGTGGCATATTTGATGGCAAACAAAAATATTATGCATCCCAGCTTAAACGTTTTGCCCTGCCCTTGTTGCAGGAGTTATTGCGACTGCCAAGTTGTTGGCGAACAGCTCCTGAATCATACAGCTTGCAGCCTAATACATGAAGATGTTTAAAAGAAAGTTGGTCTTGGTTTCCATGAATGTGTTCGTTGTGGTCTAGCAGCTCAGGAACTGATTTTCAGGCTATTCAGCCATCCTTGTTCCTCCTGCAAGGATCGCTGGAAGTAGTGACTGCTTCAGCTGTCGTGGTGTATAGATCCACCACCAAATATGTGTGCCATCTAGGAGGGTGTCTTGAAAAACAGCTGACTTGGTCAGGAGTTTCAATGGTCGTTGTAGAGAGCAAAATGGAGCTGGGAGGTGTAATCTTACAAAAAACCAGACTCTCGGGGCTGCCCAGCTTCGTTTCAGACAATTGCAGATTAGAGAAATAAACTTTCTTGGTGTTCAGTTAATATTGGAAAATAATAGTGAATTCTGATTGATTATGGGCTTTAGTCATAACGAAGTTATTTATAAGCAAGGACTTATAAGAAGCATGTCTCAAGCTTACACTTTTAGGATTAATTATTGAAGTATTGCTCAATTGAAAGTGCTCAGAATTTGACATAACAGATGGGAGGGGGGAAGAAATTAAGCCTGGAGAAAATGATCTAAAAGAATGAGGACTTTTAGGAGAAAAATAGCAAGTCTTTGAATGTGTATACCTAGAATCATGAACTATGGAAAGTAGCCTGACTCTTGAGGAATTAAATGAAGAAATACATCAAAAATATTTATTTTGATTGCTAGCACTGACAAAATATTGAGGTCCCTTCTGACCTCAACCCTTCTGTGATCTCCAGTCTTTTGTTAAATGCTTTAAAATGTTTCCTGCTTTTGTAGTGTTTCCTTACTATCTTATAGTTATGAATTCTTAGTGTATTCGATAAAGATCATGGTTATGTGTGATGGAATCTAGTGTCTGATGGCTACTTAAGACAGATCATCAGTGTCTAGTACTGCTCTTTTTTGTTTCCTGCGTTGAGGTGCACATTGAGTGAACTGTAATTGCAAATGATAAAGCTTCAAGCACAGCATACAGAGAATACTGTCTATCCTTAACTTTTTTAGAACTTGTTAACTCTGTATCGAGTATTCCGAATCAGTTCTACTAGTTTATTGCGGCAGAGCGTAATAAAACTTCTAAAGCCTATACGGAGAGGCTCAGAACAGAAGGGAAAGCTGTATTCAGGTTGATAGCCTCCTGTTAATTAGTTACCTAGTTAAAGTGATAAAAATGAAATGCAATAAAGTACTTTAAATATGCTCCACATGTAAATAATTGATTTAATGATGAATCAACCTGAATATGAGGAAAAAATTCTTTACTTTGAGGGTGGCAGGGCACTGGGACAGGCTGCCTAGAGAGGCTGTGGAGTCTCCTTCTCAGGAGATGTTCAAAACCCATTCTGAGCAACCTGCTGTAGGTGAACTGCTTTAGCAGGGGGGCTGGACTAGATGATCTTGAGAGATCCCTTCCAACCTCTACCATTCTGTGATTCTGTGAATATACCTTTCCCTTCTGGTCTCAGCCTCTCAGTAGAAGATTTAGAAATTTTATTATGCTCGCCTGTAATAAGAAGATGAGTAAGGAGACATAGATATTCAAACACATTTAAGAAATATTGAGAATAACATTGTCTTCTAGGATAAAATTAATCAAGATGCATTATGTATTAGTACGTTGTAGACCTTACTGAAGTTTCATTGAAGATATTCAAATGAAGATACCAGATGAAAGTTTTGCTGATTTATTTATTATTTTTTCCTCTGTCCTAAAAGAATTTTCTTCCTTAGAGATCAAAAGCAGTTACCCCCTTTTCAGCTTACATTAAGCTGTGCTCTTCGGATGCAAGTGTGAAACCACATAGATCAGTACATTTGCTTCAGGCTGATATGACTGATAAGGTCAAAAGATTAAATTTAGGAAAACTAGTGTACGTTGAAGTTGTG